ATTCGCTTAGTCTGCAGGTTTGCTGCGGCGGGGGTATTTAGTAGTTATTTTAGGTCTACCATTAATGGGTTTTTACATGTTAAAAACATTTTCGGGAATTCCAAACACCATTGTATGAATCTTTGAATATATAATATAAGCTTTCGATTTGAAAAAATCTAAGACGTTAACATTTTAAACAGTGTCTACGTAGAAACAAACCGTTTATAATGTTACATATTTCGTAACAATGTATTTATGTGTTACTAAAAGCAGTTTTAAGAAGCTGTATGAAAACCTATTTCCATTTCCGCTTGAAGTTATTGCAAACAAGGTGTAAGCGTAAGGAAAATTATTTACGTCTCTAATGCGCCGTCAATATCTGTAAATACCCTGATAAGTAAATTTGACTTGTTTTGTTAAATATTCTTCTGCCTTTTAACAGTGATGCAGACAATTTTTTTTCAAAACAATATTTAAGACAAATATTGGGGTAAAAATTGTAGTTATCTTTTCTAATTTTAATAATCATCGACCAAAGACATGTCACACAAAAATAAGTGAAACCCTTAACGAATATTAAATTAAACATTAAATGATAATAAACAATAATTATATTAGTAAGGTGAGATTTATTTTTTTTACACCTTTATTAAAGGCACATGCCTTAACACGTTCTCTACCGTCCGTCACACTGTAACTGAGGGATGAGTATAGTTGGTAACTAATGTGTTAAACAGTTAGCTATGGATTGTTGTTAATTTGCCATTTGCATGAAAATTGTGTTTGTTAGATTCGTCTAAGGAAAGAAAATTGACTATTTCAAATTTATGTATACACATAAAAATAAATGCCCATGTGATTTATTTGTGAATATTTTACTTTACTAGAAAAATTTACTAATTAAGGCGTATAAGGTTGTTACTGTATGGGAAGGCTGTCTCTATAGGGAATATACAATTGCCGCAAGTAGCACGGTAAGATCTAGGCGAGAGACCGATTTACTTTTTTCACTTGAAGATCTGAGATGCAAAAAGACTGCTTTCAAATAGTTAAACAATTGTATATATGTTTTTGAACGAGATACTCGAGCTATTTAAGTCCGATTTTGATTAAATTTGGTATGGAGCTCGCAAACCAGCCATAATATAATCTAGAAGAATTATGTCCTGTAGTGGTTATAGCGTAATATAGTGGATACCAACTCTAATGTTAATTAACTAAAAGCTTAAATTTTATTTCGTGGATTTCAATACTATTACCTTCAATAATTATAATGTGCTATTTGACACACATAAGTTGATCAATAAATATATCAGCTTTATAACCAGCATAGATGATATTCTGTAGATTAGCTGTTTATTATTCATACCAATTCTGAATCGGATCTGTATTGACGCAGAACAAGACTTTCTCACAGAGATTATCATACAGTGTGGGGCATCTGCAGTAATCAATTACGAGAAATATTTTTTGTATTGTAATAAATTTTAACGTGGTGCATAAATTTGATTAGATATTTTATGCTCTTAAAGTCATACGGTCACCGTTTGAAATTTAATTAACATATGGGTTTATTTTTGGAAAGTATGCAATATTTACATGCTTCATCAACATAGTGTTACAAGCATTTGTTAACAAATCGCACACAGCATAGTTTTTCATTCCTACTGTTTATTTTATAAATTAATTTATTCAATAAACATCGTTAATTTCATAAGCCTCATGCATATGCTCAATTTAATATTACTAGGTTTATTTTATGAGAAACGAAATATATGTTTTCAAAAATCCATAAATGTATTCTAATAATCCATGAATAATTACGAATAATTACTTATCATTTTGAAAATGTAACGTAGTCAATTGAAGTAATAACAAATGCATTATTAAAACAAACTATTTATAAAATATATTTAAGGTTTAGAAATTTGAAAAAGAAGAGAAATCCTCCTTTCTGAGAGCTTTGTATAGTTTGGACTTCTAATCTTAGATAAGGCGTCAGCTTCATTGAACGTGTTAAACTTCTAAGCTTCAAGATTTGGAATGTAGGGTTTACCTCTTATGTGTGACTGCTTTACCTAACGTTTATTTGAAAACGTTAGTCAGTTTGGCAGTAATTGCAATTCGAACCGATTATCTAGATACTATACCCAAATTTAACAGATAACAACATTTATATGAGACGGATGCTGAAGCTGCATTTTGTATAATGATTTTCTAAAACAATATAAAGGAGTATATACTGTAATAGATATTATACTAGTTTGACCTAAAAGCACATCATGTACACAGGAAGTATGACATCACAATATTGTGATACATACAGTCTGTGGTCGAGACTCACAGTCCTTCACTGACTACGACTTTGTCCTACTTGCAAATGTGTTAGTGTTATGGTTTATACTGCACAAAGGCATTTAAAACATTTAGTATCGTTGATCTGAATGAAATTGACTATTATAAATGTTTATCATACTTCATTTTATTTGGTAAAACTTAACTGTTATAATTACCAACCTCTATCATTCACAAACAACTAGGGTGCTATCGAAATACTAGGTCTGTAGTCTGAAAGCAAACACAAGTATCTTCCTGAAGCATCAACACTAATTATGAGTTTCAGTCATGTCAGCTGCTGTCAGCAGTCAGCAGTTTTCCTTCTGGCTTCTGAAGAAGAATTCCTTAGAGAACCTGAGAGCTGAAATTTGAAACCTCTTAAAGGAATGAGGTTTTGTATTTTTGTAGTTAAATTATAAATATTTGATCGTTAGTTTATACACCCTTAAAATGGATATGTTTTATTTACACCGTTAAACTATCAAAATAAAAAAAACTTACGTAAATGCTGTGATATGGATACATTAGAAACGTATTGACTTCAACATAGGATAAGAAAGTTAGTAACTTAGAACTGTGAATTGAACGAGGTAATTTATCAAGCTATCAGTAAACTTGGTAAACGAATACAATCACTTAGGCCTATTTCACTATTTTATCCAGGCAGATATATTAATGACGCCCTTTCAATAACGATTAGAATATTGTATATCTTGATTATTGGCGGCTAGGTTATCAGGATAACAATAAGGATATTTTATTTTCTCCATTAAGTTCACAATATTTACAATAGTCAATGGCAACATACAACATTACCAAAATATCAATTTTTCCATTTTTTTAAAAGTTAGTTTATTTAAGGTTTGTCTACTGAAAGAATTAGGTGTACTATTGTCTAATGTCATACCGGCTATGATTACTATAGTCAAACAGGGGGGGAGTGCTGGTCTAGTAGTTAGAACACGGTACTTTGGTCCCTGAGGTCCCGGGTTCAAATCCCACCAAGTCACCAATGGATTTTATCTAAGTGATAATGCCGCAACCCCTAGGTCTAGCCTGAATTAATGTTACAAACGATTCCATTGCCTAGCGTCCTAGAAAAAAACAAAAACAACTATATAATCATTCTCCCTAGCTTACAGAGCACAAATTATGTTGAATAGTGAGGAATGGAGTTCAGAAAGAAGTTAGTGATGAGTGATCATCGGCAAACATTTAGAATGATACACGGCTGTTGACGTGACAACTTGGCATGTTCTTTGTTTGAAATTCATGTGACCATAGCTCAAGCCACTTTTATCGTAA